CCAGCTACTCAGGAGGATGAGGTGGGAGAGGCACCTGAGCCCTGAATTCAAGGCTGCAGTGAGCCAAGATTGTACCACTGCAATACAGTGAGACCTATTCTCAAAAAAGAAAAAAAAATTTGATGGGGACCAAATATTTATGTAGTTTTAGATAAGTAGCTTCCCACAAAATACTTATTAATCATTTATTAATTTGCACAAAATACTTAATTTTCGAAAACCTATGGGCACATAAGGGCTAACAGAATAGGGATAGAGATACCAGACAGATACTAACCAAAAAGAAATTAATATAGATGTGTCAATGTCAGACAAAATAGACTTTAAGGCAAAAAGCCTAAGAGAGAAAGATAAAAGGCATAATTCACCAGAATGATATTCACAATTCTGAATTTACATGCATTTAACATAATCTCGTATGTATATTTAGCAAATCTGACAGAATTGTGAGAAAACACTTAATGGAACACAATCAATGGGAGCTTTTGGCATACTTTCTTACCAACCAATAGATCAGGCAGATAAAAATTAGTAAGATAAAGAATTTAAGAATACCATCAAGAAGTGTGACAGTGAACAAATACAGAGGCCCAAATTTAGAGACTCTGCATTCTGTTCAACATACCAAAGCCATTTACAGAAAAGTGATCACATGGTAGACCTAAAAGCAAGTCTCAAACGAATAAACACAAAATTGATAGGTACAGATCAGATTCTCTAACCACAGTAAAATTAACTTAGGAGGAAAAAAAGGTAACCAAGCCTTTTCAGGCTTGAAAATTAAAAGCAACACCAATAACACTTCCAAACAATAATAATATTACTTCTAAATAGCTCCTACTGGGTCAAAGAATAAAAGTGAAGTCAGAAAATATCTAGGTATTACAAAGATGTGCCAAGGATACATAGGTTCTTTGTATTATACTCTGTATTAAAGTTTCAGTAGACCCAAAATATTTCAAATTCTTTTTAACAAGCATGTATCAAAAATAAGAAGATAATACTGACTGGTTTCTGTAACATCTGTGGCACTTTCAGGCAAAATGAAATTAAAAATCACTGGTGAGACTTCAAGCGACACAAAGAGCCATGGTCCAATAACCGGCTTCCTTAGTAGCGCCTAATACGCTTTCCATGAAAGTTCCTGACAGGGAAAAATCATTACTCAGTTCAATAACCTAATTTGGTTTCAAATAATTGACTCTGTAATAATCAAATCCACCCCAAACAGATTAAGATCTGCTAACACTCTTTCCCAAGGTAAACTATAGGCTTTCAGGAAATACTAAAACGCAAGTTTTAAAATGTTCTGAAAACCAGCAGCGCTTCTCAAGTGAATACATGCTCTCTCTTTCAGCCTGCTCTGCCACACCAACCTTCCAAAGGACTACCTGAAAAGAGACAGCTATAATTTGGGTAAGTTTACTATGCACTGCTTCACAACATTATTTTGTAGCCTCAACTTTAAATAGAAATTGTAACTTACATTATACAAAAAAGCTTTCAATCTTATTGTAGGTTCAAGATTTCTTAGTTTAGCTATATTTCACTTCTTAAATTGTGAACTTAATTCTAACTGCGTAAAATTATGTTACATATAAAGTAAAAAAAGTGCTAACAAAGTATGTTAGTATGGATATTAAAATAATGAAAATAATAGGTTAAGGATTAAGTGACACCAAAAATAGGTATAGTAGATATAAAGAAAATATATATGTACCCAGCTTAACCCTATGCTGTTTCTCTTCTTCACTTCTAAGAAAAGTATCCAAAGTCCGTAGGTCGGTCATGTAGTCTTCTTTGTCAGTAGGTGAGTTGTAGACGGTAGGTGAAGAACGGTAGCGAGATCTCAATCCACTGCTTTCTACTGGTCCAACAGTGGTAGGGTATGAAGAAGGAGGAGAGGGGCTAAAGCTCGCCAACTATACAAAATAAAAGATCTTTACGTTATTTTTCTTTAATTGAAATTCATTTTGTTTTGGTTTTTGACTTAAGTAAAACATCTGGTAGAATGGCAAAAATCCACAACACTGACAACATCAAATGCTGATGAGGTTGTGGAACAACAGAATCTCTCATTCTTTGCTGATGGGAATGCAAAATGCTACAGCCACTTTGAAACCCAGTTTGGCAGTTTCTTACAAAAGTAAATATTCTCTTACCATACGATCTAGTAATTGTGCTCCTTAGTGTTACCCAAGCAGTTGAAAACTTACATCCACACACAAACCTGTACGTTTATGGCAGCTTTATAATAGCCAAAACTTGGAAGCAACCAATATGCCCTTCAGTAGGCGAATGAGTAAATAAACTGGCAAAATTAGGTAATGGAGTATTACTCAGCACTAAAAAGAAGTGAGCTGGGCACGGTGGCTCACACCTGTAATCCCAGCACTTTGGGAGGCTGAGGCGGGAGGATCATCTGAGGTCGGGAGTTTGAGACCAGCCTGACCAACATGGAGAAACCCTGTCTCTACTGAAAATACAAAATCATCCGGGCGTGGTGGCTCACGCCTGTAATCCCAGTTACTCGGGAGGCTGAAGCAAGAGAATCGCTTGAACCTGGGAGGTGGAAGTTGTAGCGAGCTGAGATCGCGCCATTGCACTCCAGCCTGGACAACAAAAGCAAAACTCCGTCTCAAAGAAGAAAAAAAAAAAAAAAGAAGTGAGCTATCCAGCTATGAAAAGACATACAGGAATCTTAAAATGCATATTGTTAAGTGAAAGAAGCCAATCCGAAAAGCTACACAGGTATGAGTCTAAGTACATGACACTCTAGAAAAGGCAAAACTATGGCAGCAATAAAAAAATAAAAAAAAAAAACAGTGGTTAACAGGAATTTGGAGGAAAAGAAGAATGAGTAAGTGGTACAGATTTTTTATTCTGTATGATACTATAATTGTGAACACATCATTACACATTTGTCCAAACCCATAGAACGTACAATACCAAGAGTGAACCCTAATGTAACCTATGCACTTAGGGTGATAATGACGTATCAATGCAGGTTCATCAGCTGTAAGAAAGATACCACTGTGAGGGGGTATACTAATCATCAGGGAGGCTATGCGTGTTAGGACAGGGGATTACACAAGATCTCTTGACTTTGCTGTGAACCCAAAACTGCTCTAAAAAATAAAGTCCATCAAAAAAAAAAAAAGTAACTCAAGGAGCCTAGGAGTTAGAGGCTACAGTTAGCCATCACCGTGCCGCTGCATTCCAGCCTGGGTGATAGAACAAGACCCTGTCTCTTAAAAAAAGAAGTAACACATGCATATTTTTAAAAATAGAAAGTATAAATAAAATAACATCTGTAACTTTGCCACCCAGAGATAATATAATCCTTTTTCATACTTTATGTATTTTAAAATCTCTAAAATATACACAGCTTTGTCAATGTTACGATGAAGATAGCTGTACATAAATCTTTGAATGTCTGATGGCTTCCCTTAACAGATTCCTAAAAGTGAAATTATTTGGTGAAAGCATATTAACAGTTACTTGATATACAAGAATTTTAAAAACTGGACATTTAATTTGCATTTCCCTATATTTATGATGTTAAACACTTAAAAAATACAATTACTAGTCACTTGGATTACTTATTTAAATGTTTACTCAAGTACATTTACAATTTTTTTCTATTGGGGTCTTATGATCACTTTATATTAGCTTGCAACAAGTTAAAGATTAATCAGTCTTGTAATTGTTTAATGCTGTTTGAAAATAAAAATGTAAATCCTCTTCCACACAGATTTCTTTTATTTTTAAAATTAACATATTACATCCTTATATACACTATATCTGGGCTATTATTGCATTAATTGGCCTATTTTTGCCTAGAGGCCATAATATTTCACTTATTAAGTTTTAATGTCTATGGGGAAGTATCCTGTTACTCAAAATTTTCTTGGCTCATTTGTTTTTCTTTATTAACTTTAAAATCAATGAGTAACTTGCATAAATCTATTTTTAAAAAATGGTAGACTGGGACTAATTAGAATTGCATACACCTTATACATTAGCATGTAGGGAGAAAATCTTTATAACATCTTTTTATCCAAGAACATTTTCTCTCTCTTCATCTAGCATCTCTTATATTTCTTGGCAATATTTTGGCCCCACTTCTAAAGCTCAATCTTGGGATCTTATGTTTTTAAATCAATTATGAAAGGAATTTGGAAACCCCTATAGATCTAACTAAATAATGCTGGCATATATATAACTGTAAGCTATTGATTTTCGATATTTACCGTGTATCCAGCCACTTAACCAAAGTTTTTAATATGAAAATGGATGTTTTTAGGAAACAGCTTTTCAAACTTTAGGTTTTAAATGAACTCCTGAATATAATGTATTAATAGATTTCTTGCATTGATAGGATAAACTTTACCTGGTTATCAATTATTCCTTAAAGGTTATTTTGAAAAGAAGAAAAAAAAGTTGTTAATTTCTGTGAATTCAAACCATTATTTAGTTTACAACTTTCACATTGTCCTATTTATTTTTAAGTTTTTTTGGTTTGTTTTTTACAGATCCCAGGGGGAACTATTTTGTGCTTTAAGTTTTATTACATTCTATAAAGTAAAATAGGTAGTGGTGTTCTTATCTTTTCTGTATTTGGTAATAATTCGTATTGAATACCAAGTATTTAGGCAATCATTATATATGTCAGGCAATGTGCTAATTATGCTTAATACATACATTGTCTTATTTTATCTTTTCAATAACAGGTACACATGATTACTATATTCGCCTTATGAGTTTACATAACTTGCTGAAGATCATATCAGGATTTCAATCCTGTTTTCTAACTCAAGTTGATGCTAACATGTTGTTTTACTGGATCAGAATTAGCTGTTCATAGGCCAGCAAAATATTAATAACTTTTAGAAGATGGGTAAAAGATACACAGGAGTTCACTATATTAAAACTGGTCACTTCACTTTTGTGAGTTTGAGATTTTCCATAATAAAAAGTCTATAAAGTAACTGTGTCTTCAAAGTTTAAAAGAACTCAATAATAAAACTTAAGGGCCCTACAGTCTTCTGGGGATGTATGTGATGTATCGTTTTTAAACTTTCTCTCTCATTTTGGTTTTCTACTTCTTAGCCAATTTTTGGCTTTTTTTTTTTTTTTTCCAAGAAAAGTAATGTATTTCATTAACTTTTCTAAGTTATTAGTTTGGCTCAACAGACACTGATGTAGCATCTATATTCCATGTACTGGGCTAAGGAAACAAAGATGAATAAAAACACATAATCCTGTGCTCAAGAGGGTTACAGTCTAGAGGGAAAAAAGTGAACATTATTATAGACTGAATGTCTGTGTCTTCCCCAAATTCGTATGTTGGAGCCCTACCCCCCAATGTGGCTGTTTTTGAAGTAAGGGGGTCATCAGCCTAAGTGAGGTCATTGGAGTGGGGCCTTGTTCTGACAGGCTCAGTGTCCTTACACGAAGAGATACCAGAAAAGGCATGGGAGGGCAAAGTGGCTGTCCGTAAACCACAAAGAGCCCTCACCAGAAGCCAAACTGGCAGGGACCTTGATCTCAGGCTTCTAGCATTCAGAACTATGAGAAAATAATTTCTGTCAGGCCACAAAGCCTGTGGCATTTTTTAATGGCAGCCCAAACAGACTAATACAAGCAACTATTTTAAAATACTATGCTTTGTTTGATATATCATTATGCAAATATTCTAAGGTAGGAATGTAAGTAGCTACAAACCATGGTATGGGGCCAGGTGCGGTGGCTCATGCCTGTAATCCCAGCACTTTGGGAGGCTGAGGCAGGAAGAATGCTTGAGTCGAGACGTTTGAGACCAACCCAGGCAACATAGCAAGACCCCATCTCTCCCAAAACAAACACACACCATAGAGTGTTTCCTCAAAAAATTAAAAATAGATATATAAACTCTACTTCTTAATATATACCCCAAAGAACTGAAAGCAGGGACTCAAACAGATAAGCTGTACAGCCTTGTACACTGCAGCATTCACTCTTCACAAAAGCCAAAAGGTAGAAGCCATCAACATATGAGTGGATAAACAAAATGTGGTGTATACATACAATAGAGTATTATTCAGCCTTAAAAAGGAAGAGAATTATAACACATGCTACAACATGGATGAACCCTGAGGACATTATGCTAGTGAATAAGCCAGTTAAAGGACAAACACTGTATGATTCCACTTAAATGATGTACTTAAAGAGTATCAAATTCAGAGAGACAGAATAGTGGTTGCCAGAGACTTAGGGGATGGAAAAAGAGAGTTAACTGTTTTCAATGGGCACATTGCTTCAGGGGGGAGATGAAAAGTTCTAGAGACGATGATGGTGACAGTTGCACAATTTGAATGCATTTAACGCTACTGAACTATGCATTTAAAAATGGTATGTTTTATCACCATTAAACAAACAAAGGATGATGTTAAGAGTGTTTTCAGCAGAGAGAATAACTTAAAAGATGAGTAACAACACAGAGACGTGAAACGTTATGGTAATAGCTATTCTCTGCTCTTACCATAAAATGTAAAAATATTCATTTTGGTTTAAACTTCTCTATATCCTTTTCTAAATCTTCCATTTCAATTTCTCCTTAAGTCTATGTCTTATTTGCCCTGCTGATTTGACAGATTTGTCTATTTTATGGGATTTCCCATGCACACAGAAAAAAGCTCTTAGATAATAATTCATTAACATTTGCTTTTATCATTTTAAAAATAGCTTTATTGAGATATAAATTCACATACCACACAATTCACTCATGTAAAGTGCACAACTCAATGTGTTTTAGTATATTCACAGGATTATAAAGCCATTACAATCAATTTCAGAACATTCTTTTCCTTCCTCCTACTAAAAAAGAACTGATCAGATATCAATCTCCTTTTCTCCTTCCTTTCCACCCCAACTTTAGATAACCACTAATCTTCCTGTCTTTATAGATTTGCCCACTCTGAACATTTCATATAACTATAATCATACAATATGTGGTCTTTTGTGACTGGCTTCTTTCATTAGCATAGTGTTTTCAGGACTCATCCACGTTGTACCATATATCTATCATTTTTTCTGTATCCTCCTTGTTATAATTTTATAATTTTGACCTGAATTCTTAGTACATCTATTTTTATTTTTTAAAACAAAAATGGGCACAGCGAGGTGGCTCATGCCTGTAATCCCAGCACTTTGGAAGGC